TTAGTTAGTTAGTTAGTTAGTCAGCTAGTTAGCTAGCTAGCTAACTAGCTAGCTAGTTAACTAGCCAGTCAGCTAGTCAGCCCATTAGTCAGTCAGCCAGCCAGCCAGTCAGCCAGCCAGTCAGTCAGTCACCTAACCAGTTCAATCACAGTTCTTAAGAATTACCCACATATTATGCTTCATAAAATTAGAAGTGAAAAAAAAAAACCCACAGAGCAAAAACGTAGACACATATACATTTCAGCTCTTTCTTTTTTTATCCTTTGCTTTTTCTTCAAAAAAAAAAAAATTTTTTTTTTTTGTTATTGTTTTTTTTTCTGTAAATATCACAATTAATATCGTCATTCAAAGCCCTACTTATCCTATCAACGGTAAACAAAAACAAATTCTCTAGAAACAAAAAAAAAAACAGTCCAAAAGAGAAATATATGGATTGCTTAAAATTTTTTAAGCTGATCAAGAAAAATACGAGGAAAAAAGTTAGTCAAAAAAAAAAAAAAAACATTCTTCAAAAAGTATCTATATGTTACTATTTTTGGTATATGTAAACATAGACCAGAAGCAAAAACACAAATACACCCAGACATAAACACGCACACACACTCATATAAAAGCAAATTATATACCCAAACGATACAAAGATTACTGCTATTAATCCTGCTGAAAAAGTAGTAAAAACTTTAAAAAAAAGAAAAAAGTAAATTTTACTGGTGATCCAAGTTCTTCCGTAACCACTTCAAAGTGACGTTTTTCAAACTATTATTGTTATTATTGTTATTATTATTATTATTATTATTATTGTTATTCTTGTTATTACTGTTGTTATAATTATTGTTATTGGTACTATTATTTGCTGTAATCTTTGAAGCATGTGCATTTATGTGCATATGTCTATAACCGTGTTTACGTCTATGCCTATGTGTTGGAAACAATTAATAACATGACTTCAATTAAAATCCTAAAAACCTGTATGAAATTAATGCCACTTCAGCTTATATCCATATTCGTGTGTACATAGATCCTCATATTCACACGCGTACACATAGCACAAATAGGGCTTAAGTAGACTTTTCTCGTTGATAATTTTGACAGTGCTCATATTACAACCCGTGGTACCCAGAAGTATCCTTCGCCCACCCGAGCAAAGTTATCTCTCTTCTTATCCTTCCCACTCCATCTACTCAACCTACTCTTTCCAACCTCTAGAATTACATTTACAGAGAATGAATTGATAACCATGCAAAAAAAAAAAAAAAAAAAAAAAAAAAAAAAA